CAGCACGGAGCAGCCCTGGGCTGCGGCGCGGCTCCCTCTATCTCTGCGCCACGACTATAAATAGGGTTTGCTGCGAGCCTCCCGGTGGCTCTGACATGAGAGGGAATACGTGGAAGAAAGAAAACATACGCGCACACACACATGTTCAACAAGGACGCAATACAAAGACGGTATCCTGGAAGCTTAGTGCCTAGTATGAGGCAGCACATGCACATTGCTGTTTGCTGCTTCCATGCATTACAGCCATGCAGCAGAGCCTTTCCGTAAGCTCAGGGAATCTGATTCTGGGGATCCTGCACAAGGTCTGTTGCTCCTGGTAAACGCTTTTCATAACTTAGGGGCTGGAGAGCATCTCTCAAAACCCACCAACACCTCGCCTTCCCATGGACCTGCTGTTTCAGTTTTGTGCTCCTTGTCACACTTTTCAATGACACACGCTTTCTGCTTTAATCTGACACTCTGCTGATACAGGCTAAAAGGGCTTTTTTTTTTTTTTACCTGAAGAAAACCCACAAGACAGTCTGATGTGCCCCGGGTACTTTTCAAGGCAGGCAAGTCTGCAAGCACGTTTGGTTTCTGCATAACATGTTAAAAAAATAATAATAAAAGGCAGTGGTTGGTGGGAGAGAGAGCTGCTTGGCATAGGCTAACTGACAGAGCTGGAAGACATTTCCACAGCCTGAAAACACATTTTTGCGATCCCTTCATTGCACCTCTAAACCGCTTCGCACACCCAAACCAATTATTTCCACATTAAGCAGCTTGCTCCTCACAGAAAGAGCAATCGTGAAGCTGCAATCCCACCATTTCACAACCACGGAAGAGCCGCATTGCTACCCTGAGCTTGAAGGCTGCTGTGCTGTAAGAGCTGCGAGTAACAAGTTTGGGTTACAGCAAGTAAACTACCAGCTGACTTCTGGCAAGGAAAACCTCCGCTGGACTACTGAATGCTGGCTCAAGAGTCGGAATTTCTCCTCTGCCCATAAGTGGGGAAAAGCAAAGAAAAACAAACAAAAAAAAACGTAGACAGGAGATCAGTACTGGTTACTGCTGTGTTTCGAGGCTGTGACGCCAGCCTTGGTTGAAGAGGAGCAGCTTACCTTCCCGGCCAGCATGAGGCCGCTTCCCGAAAAGCAAGTGAAGGCTGGCCGTGCGCCTCCGCATGCTGGCAGGGCCCTGGCGAGCAGCAGCCCCGGCCCACGGCAAAGCAGCCCCGGCACACGGAGGAGCAGCCCCACACGCACCCTCTGCCAGGCCACCCGCCGTGCCGGTCCTCCACGAGGGAGTGGAGGCTAAGAAGAGGAGGAGAGTCCCAGGCGGTTTAACCAACGTGAGCCAGAGCCCACAGGCGCAGGGGAGATCCTCCCATAGCTCCAGGAAGGGCTGGTTTTAGGAGCCGGGCCGGGCCATCAGGCAGGATCGGTTACTGTGTCTGCACAGGAAGGGGGCGAGGGTCACAAAGCACAAACACACCATTAACGCTTAAGTTTTATGACAGGGGATTTCCAAAAAACAGAATAATCTGGTCCTGAAAATCAAAAGTGAAAAAAAAAATCAAAGTCATCAGAGGTTATTTAGGAACTCTTAAAGTGACAGGGCACGTGGATCTCCAGCAAGCAAGGGAGCCAAAAGGGAGGCTCTCAGCTAAGCGCCTGCGCCTAGCGACACCACAGGTCATGCTGCAAGTGCTAGTTGTAGGTGCTATGCTTGCAAGGACCTCCACTGCTGACAGAAGCCCTGTTAAAAAAAAAAAAGGAAGAAGAAAAAAAAACCCCATACAACAACAAAACCGTAGCCCCTGCCCAAATCTCTCAACGATCTCAATAATCCTTCAGAAGATGAAAAGCTAACCCTGGCAGAGCCAATATAAAGGCATATGAATTACTGCCAGTAGGGAGCAAGTTTACGTTAGGATGGCTGTCATGAAGCTGGGACAGCAGGTAGCCAGGATAAACAAAGCAAACACCAGAAAACATATGGCATTTTCAGCTTATCAAAGCCGGAAAACCTCTGGGGGAATTACTTAGCTTCTCTGCTTGCTGGTAGCCCAGTGAGCTAAGTAATTACCGGTGAGCAGATTATTTCCTTGCACAGAATGCTGAGGAGGTTCCCTAGGATTTAATGCTGGTTTAACCTGGGGAAGGGGATGCTGGCATGTCACAAGAGGAGGGAAAAATTGAAATTCAAGAACAAAAAGTCAGTGGGACGCAGCGGCCTATACCCAGGGCTTCCAAAGGAAACAGTCAGTTGAGGTGCAGAGAGAGGCTCTCCCCCATGAAACCACCTGCTACCACCACCGGGCAACCAGGGCCACGAAGAGCCTTTCCTAAAGCTGTGCGGGAACGCAGGAGCACGGCCACTGCACAAGGCCACCCGACCGTGGGGCAGAGGGGGTGCCAGGCCAAGCTCCTCAGCAGGAGGACGGGATCTAGAGGAGCAGCATCGAGGCAACATGCCTCATGCTTCCCCAAAGCCTTCGGGCCTGAAGCCAGGTGAGAAGTGAGCCGGGAGGCATGAGGTAAAGAACCCGCCACGCTGGATCCCTAAAGCAGATGGGCAGATGAGGAGCAGTCACTCCTCTGCGTCACAGTGGGCTGGATGAAGAAAGTCCGGAGGACACGGTCACGTCACCAGCTCCACACCTGAGCGCCTCTCTGCACCCAGAGGTGCTCACCCAGCTCATCACCACCACCTCGGCCCCCATGTCTGTGTGAGCCCTGTCAGCCCCCTCTGCTGCTTTATATCCCCTTCCCTGGAGCTGAGGCACCGCAGCAGGACCCTTGTCCTGGGCTGCTGGCTGCAGGCAACAAGAGGAGCCAGGAGGCTGTCCCCCACTCTGGCAATGAGCTGAACAGATTTGCTGGGGGTTCGTTAAGAAAAATGTCTGCTCAGAACGCAAAGGCGGTAATTAAAAAAAGACGAGAAGCGAATATGAGCGTGAGGATGCAAGATGGCTGGGCGGGAATGTAACAGGCATGTCACCAGCTGAAATAATCCATCTCGTTCCAATCTCCTTAAATAAAGGCAGGGAGGCGAAACAAAGGGGAGAGGCCTAAAGTTGGGTGATGAGAAGCCATGTGAAAATGTTCAGGCAGCGAGAGACTGGATAAACTCTGTGATTAGAAGGGCGAGAGCTCTAAGGGTGTGCAAAGAACCATACAATATAACCAGGCTGCTCTTTTTATGGTCTTTCATAAAACTACGGGAGGAAGTTCAAAGGTAACTGAGATTGAAAAGTAACTAATTTTAAAACTCATAAAAGGAGCAGCCTCCCCAGTCAGACACATTAAATGCTGCTGGGGAAAGTGAGAGAGCTGATCTGAGCAGTCTCATTTCTCTCCTTTCTCAAACTTCTCTGCTTGGTCTCTGTGAAGTCCCCATTGCTCCAGAAAGACTTCTATAAAGTTTGATTCACTAGAGCAAATTATAAGGCCTTTTTTCCTAATTGATCCTTTTTTTTTCTCTCCTTTTTGCAAATGAAGCTTTTTATTTATTAGATTATGCCCCAGTTTAAGTGAGCATTTTGATTTAAATGTTTTGACAGACCGTAAGTAGAGGAATCCAGCAGCAAAAGGGTTTCTAGCCTCACCTTTCAAAACCACTTCTTCGCCATTCCAGCTTTACACAAAACTGCAGTGTAGCCCAGCAAAAGGCATAAACATCCTTTAGTCATCATACAAAACTAAAGGAGTTTACAAAGTCACTACAAGTAATCAACTATTAACTGCAGTGGAGCTGCTGTAGAGTAGCTTAAGCAGCTTGGCCCAATTTTCCTCATTTTTATATGAATGAAAAGTATAGCACCTCTTGCCCATATGTGCTCCCTTGACTACTGGTATGCACTTCCTTGGATACTGGTACACATACTACAATTTCATTGCTGACTGCTAAACTAACTCCAAACCCAAAATGGCTGTGTCAGGCTAGAGGAAGACATTCCTCCGTTTCAGTTTTCCTTTGGTTGTGGATTTTTGTCCATCATGTTACTTAGCTGGGCCAGTGAAGATGAACATAATTTCCAGCAGTGGGAATTGAAGACTGTTTCCTATCTATCTCCAGCTTCCTTGCCTCCGTGTCCCAAAAGAATCTCTCATCGGAAAACAAAAGAGAACTGAAACATGGATGCAAAATAACACTGCCTGTCTGTCAAAAAAGAAGTATGATCAGAGCATTCATGCAGGCACATGTGCACATCATTACAACTCAGCCGTCACAAGCAAATCCGCGCAGAACCTCCACTCACCTCAGCCAGGTGCTGTGCAGAAATCAGCTACATGGCCAGACTGAGAACGGGAGCTGAGATCCTTGACATTTTAAAAATTATTATTATTTTCTTTCTTGACAGCCTAGGTGCAAGTTTCCAAGTAAATTTTCCTGCCCAGGAAGTAAGAAAGTAGCAACAAGCTGTTTCTGAGCTGCAAAAATCACAAAACAAAACAAAACTGCTGCACAAGTCAGAATCTGAAGTCAACATTTTTCTTCAAAGTTTGCAGGGGGAAAAAGCAGCAAAAACTCTTTGCTTAGACAAAGGCAGCCAAATACTGCCAGCTTAACCCAACCCTGCCAGCAGCAGCTCCAGCAGAGCCAGTGTAAAGTTAAAGCAAACCTATTTCCAAACTACCATTGGCCCAATTTGATTCTCTCCCTTGCATTTCACATGTGTTTGCAAGCAAGCAGAAGCATAAAAAAAAAAAAGTGCATGGGGAGCAGGAAAGGAGAAGACAGAGAGAATGTGCATTATCAAAATACCTTGAGAGCAGTTCTTGGAAATGTGCAGTCTGCAAACTTGTATCAGACATTCATTTCCTGTGAAGTGCACACAGGCCTTTTTCATTTCTCCACTGAAGGGGACAAAAATAAAGGGGCAGCTCTAAAGTCGCCAAAGACAACAGAGGAGCCAGAATTTAGTAATTTCACAAAAATTGAATTAATGTTGTTAGATTATTACAGAACTACAGAACACAACCCAAGAGTCACAGCAGTTAAAATTTTAGACTTTCTACGCCTCTCGCTGCTAAATCTTAGCTTGAAATCTTGCACTCAGCCAAGGGGGGAAATGAATTTTACCTGACTCATTTTGACCGCTCATTAACACAAAGTCACTAAAACCTGCTGCACCAAACACTGCCACACATTTTTTTTTTCTTCTTCTTCTTCTTCTTCTTTTCTTTTTAAGGGTCTGAGACAGAACTTAGCAAAATGGTGATCTCGGAGTTAGCTTTTTGAGGCAGGAGGCTGTAGGACATGTACAAACACAGAATAGGAAACAGGGTAGTAATGAAGCTAACAGCGTAGAAGGGGCTGAGCTGACACTGATGCCTGTCTTCAGCTTCCACCTCTAGCTATGTGCACACGTGGATCGAATTTATTCAACACTTAGTTGCATTCTTCTAAATACATGTTGCTGCCGAACAACTTACTTAAGCACTTAAGCATTGAATGTCTAATACCTTTACAGTACAAAAAGATTTCAACCCTGTTTGGCATTCTCAGCTCTTGTACCATCCGTATTTTCATTTAAATGAGAAGCGACACAGCTATCCGCCTCTCCTGGCTTGCAGTCTTTCGGCAAGCACAACTAACCAAATTTTGCAAGGACCCCCCAAAAATGGCTCACAAAAATGCAGCCTTCCCAGAGCTTTCATTAATCTGACCACAGTGTCAACTCGACCCTAAGGATGTTATATTTAAACATTCACACTAGCTATTTATTGCCGACCAAACTGAGGTAGGAGTACTGCAGGAGAAGCCAGTAGAAAAATCTGCGCTTTGTTGGGGAGGAGATGGCAGTGAGGAACTGCAAAGACTTAGAGAAAAGGAAAGAAAACTCCAGTGGGGACGGAGAGCAAGAGAAGCAAGGAATCTTCAAGGCAATTTTGTCAACATTTTCTCCTTTGTTTCTCGACAATGCAGCCACAGTATGAATGACAGTAACCAAGGATTTACGCTACGCAACTCATGCTCTGCCCTTGCGCAAACTGACCACCAACTTCAGAGGAATTCCAGTTGGATTAAGGAGAAGAGGCACTAGAGGCAGGCTGCGAGCTCTCTTCTGGAAATGGAGTTTGGCCCTCTCCACACAGGCACTGCAGAGGCAGAGACAAGGACCTGCAACGCTTGGCCCAAGCTCAGCCTTTCCTCGTCGTTCCTTCACGGCTGCTTCCCAAAACAGCACAGGTTCCTGCGTGCCAGAAAATCACGGGAGTTTATCTGTGGCTGCCAGTGCAATCTTAAACCAAAGCCTTGTGCTGCCTCTTGACACCACTACGTTTAAGTAAGTGGTAAATGAGCCAGGTTATTGAAGGACATATAACACAGAGCACAATGACGAGTAGCACAGAAATAACCGTGGCCCAGATCCAAGTTTCGGTCAGGAGAAGATGGGAACCTGTGTAGGAGGCTGATATCTAAATCCCTGTACGGATTTGAGCCCAAGAGCCTTCCACTCTGGAAGGGACCAAAATAAAAAAAAACTGGACCTCAAAAACGACGTTTGAAGTCGCACAGCTAGGAAGATCACCCGCCAACACAGAAACAAACCTTGGCTTCATCTGCCACGACGGGCTGCATCTCGTCGTAACTCGACTCAACCAAGACCACCATTATGTGACAACAGTCTCAGTGCAAACTTCTGTGCATAACGTACAGCATAACATAAAGCACATGACCATGGCTCCGCTGTGACTCGATGGGCGATTTGATGTTCACAGGGGCCAAGATGCAGTCACGATTGCTAGGAGAGGGCAGATACATCTGCGTACCCTCTTAGGGGCACAGTCCTTGGGGAGCGAAACACCAGGAAGCTGCAGTGATTTCTGATCCCAACCCATTGTACAGAATTGAGCATGGTCAGCATGTGACTGGATTTTCTTTTCAAGTTCTCCAAGTGCTACAAGGAAAAGTAGCAGATTGTACTGCCTGGACCACATAACCTCCAAGAGCAGCTTGCTAGCAACACTCCTCACCCTATTTTTTTTCCAGCAACGGAAAAGTCACAGCCCCCTCCTCCTTCCATATAGGAAACAAGCAAACAAAAAAAGCCCAGGACATTAATTTAATATCCTTAGGCTCTTCTCTGATACCTCTGGGTTTCTTCAGGTCTGGCTGCCAAACTTTTGATGGAGAAAAAGAAACACACATTTAAACTAAATTAAGATTAAAAATAAAATAAAAAAAATCCTAAGAACAACAGAGGCTGAGGTTTTAAGCAGTAACAATTCCAAAACACTCAGTAAAAGTGAGTGTTAGTGGGAAAAAGTGAGCAGAGTGTTCTGCATGGCTGCAAGTACCGTGACTCAGACTGCACAGAGGACGATGCTTCGCACGGGCACCGGGCGCTGCTCTTCTCAGAAGAGGCCGGTGCGAGGCTGCACGCTGCCTCCCTCGGGTACAGGAAGGCAGAGAGCTGCTCTGCTACCAGCTGCACCCGCACCAGGGACAGCCGCGGTTCAAGGTTATCCCGCTTCCCCATAACACCCTCCATTCCAGAGGAGGATGCACTTCAGGGAATTAGAAGTTGAGCAATTTGGGGAACTAAGTGCGTGACGCTCCTCCTGCGCCCTGCACTAGGTGAACCAAAGGCAGGCGACGACTCCCCAGGTCCATGAGGATGCATGCTTTCCTGCAGTCACATCCGAGAGGTTACATAATGTGCAGGTTTCACTTCGAAATGAGCATCTTGGTGCCCAGGGAGGACAGACAACACCTGGACCAGGAACTTGCCCCAGGGCTGCACAGGGACCCCTGGGCTGCCCTCAGCACCCCAACACTGTCACCCACATGGGCACCACAGGGCTCCAGCACCCCAAACCCTCATGCGGGCCCCGCTGTGAGCAGTGCCCCAAACCACTGCACACCTTCCTCTTCCGCAGCTGGCGCCATCCCCAATTCCCAGGGCAGCTGAGCAGCCAGGGGAAGGTGCCCCCAACTCCTGCGCCTGCGAGGGGGCGAGAAAGGGGTAGAGGAAGGAACGAAAAAGAAACAGGAACAACGCCCCCCTCCCCAAACCAGGCGGCTTCCCGTTAGGCGCCGAGACCTACCCTCTCCTGCGGCCTCCCGACGG